GATAGCTTTATGGATAAAATTCACTAGGTTTATTAGTTTTAATGTCGTAATTACGGTATATACGACTTTAATGTCGTATATACGGTTTTCAGAAGGTTCCGGGATTCAAAAGTTTCCAGGTTGGTGCAAAAGTAGAACGTTATAACCCCATTATATTTTATTTACTTTCCGTTGATGTTTTCTTGTCGGGCTTAACAACTTGGAGGCAGACCACCATTAATTTCCCCATTGACTTCAGTGTTAATTCTGGCCTTTTTGCCCGCCTCCAACTTTTCCCCAAATTTTCGTTGGGCTGAATGATTTTCACTACAGACAGAGGAACAAATGGTCATGTCTTTGCACTAAAATCTGTATGAGGTTGACCACCAAACTTTTGAGATACACAAACTTGAAGAAGCATACTAAAAACATGTAACTAGTTGCCGTACATATCACCGTAGCTAACCTGATAACCCCGTTATCCTTCCGCCTCAATATCATGAATATTTACCAAAGCCTCGCAGAAAATGTTAATTCAAACCCTCCTCTTCATCCATTCTAGACCAAAACATCAACAAAAATGGGCATGCAAAAGGAGAGAAAAGAAAGAGAGATAGAATTGCGATAAATAGACGAACTACCGAGATGGTGAAATTTAATGGTGGTCTGCCTCCACTTGACTTGATGTCGGAAATGAAATCAAATGGGGTTTAACGTCATTTTGTTCTGCTCCAAATCGGACTTAAAGACTTGATTTGACTTGATGTGGGTTTAACGACACCCGCTTCCAGCTATAATATTCTACACATATAGGCAATTTCGAGACTAACACGTGTACGACAAAGCACGGAAAGTCAATACATTATTAAATATATGGACGGATTGAAAACCACGGCGTGTGGTGCAATTACAAGATATAGGAAGTTTATATGGATGTATTTTGTCTATTATTTCAAGTGTTAAACATTTATTTTATAGAATTTGTTGGCTCTTCCGAACTACAAGACATAAAACACGAATGTTTACCGGTCTTACACCAAAATCGAAACGTGACACTAGTGTGTTTTATGTGCAAGCCAACGTGTTCGCGAAACCTTGGTTTTGCGTCTCATCGAAACGACTAGACATTCGTCTTTGTTAGACCCCCAGTTCTACACCATATTCCCATACTCCCCAGTAACTATCCCGTTACTCTTAATTTTACATGTCCAACCACTTGACATCGACATCAATAGATATACAAATATTGAATCATATGGTAGGGTACCCCGAGCTGATAAAAATCTCGAAAACTATTTACACCCTTCAATATGTTATATCACGTGATTGTAACCTTTGGTTCTTTGTGTTAATAAAGAATAACGTCATCGGAATGTTCCCAAAATGGTATAGGCCATTAAATAAATGCCCCCACCATCGGTACCGACGAATGCCGAATGCAGTTACTTTCAACACACTCACTCTCTCTCTGTCCAACCTCGAGTTTTTTCTCTGGGTGCTCCTTTTTCCTCCCACTGCTAAAGACCCCTACGCGTAAGCGAATTATTGAAATAAAATTTAACTATACGTTAGTCCCGAAATAAATTTAGTTGGTGTCGAGTGGACGTCTCTCTCTCTCTCTCTCTCTCTCTCTCTCTGTGGTTCCCCCTTGTCAGTGATGCAGGACGGAGGACCTGACAAGGACAGCTGTCTAGTCCTTCGGATGAGACGCAAAGCCGAGGTCCCGTGTATACATTGGAATGCACGTAAAAGATCCCTTGGCAGTTGGAATTCGATATAAGAGTAGGCGATAGTGCCGCTACCCGGGCAAAATTGTCCTTATAGAATGCTGTGTGGTGTATGCCCGTCTTCATTAGCCCAGTATAGGAGTAGAACAGTAGGACGTTAAACCCCATTTCATTTCATTTTCATTTCTCTGTGTTAGTCCCGAAATGACCAAGTTCATGTTTTGTGGATATTAAAGAGATAAAACTATGATGTCGTTCATAAGAGTACATGTAGATTGTTGAGTACATACCTACACGAGGCGTTAACAATTGCGTCGTTAAGAAGCCTAGTATTTTTATCTTTAAGTATTCACGTCTTGTTATCTAGATAATAATTTAACTTAAAAGATTAAAGTCGGATAATATCATTGTATACTTAAACTGGGTCATTCTATATGAAAAATATTTAACAGCTGTTTCTCTGGCCGAATGCAAATTTATGAATCCCTGCTACAATTCATCGAAGGCAACTAAAAACGTATGTTTGTCACACATGGTTGGCAATCCGTTTCCACACCGAGGACTATTTATGTCTGGATAAAAACGTCTATATTTTTGTCTGGATAAACAAGTAAATGATTACATCTGGATAAATATGTCTATAAGTTTACCGAAGTTAAAAAAGATAATTGTTACTTAAATTGACACAATGGAAGCATATATCCTTTTTGTAATATGGGGGCTTGGATGGCCGATTGGTGAGCTCGTACGCGCTGTATCATAAGGTCGGTCATTGGGTGGTTGCGATTCCCCAGTTGTACGTGACAGGGAGTAGGGTCGCATGTCCAACCTCGTGGATTCACACCGGGTCCTCCGGTTTCCTCCCATTAGTAAAGACCCCTACGCGCTAGCGAATTATTGAAATAAAATTGAACCATATGTTAGTCCCGAAACGCCATAGTTTGTGTCGAGTGGGCATTATAACCAAATTCTGTCGCTCTCATTCTATTTTTATGTTCAGTTAAGATAATATCAAAGTAGGCCTACACGTTGTGTAATCTACGACCTAGGATATCTGCATTAAAACCAGTACAGGAGATACATTCTGTATATATGCAGGCGATAATTTGAGGTTCCATCGTGTACGTAAAATATCGCTGGAAAATTGAAATTCCTAGATGCGCGACAACTGCCATTCCCTCATCGCAATGGATTTGTAAACAAAATGTTAAAAATTAAACATGTCGGGCTCATGCCAGGTTGCCACTATCACGATTCGTGCTACGATTGAAATCGTGGTTTTAATCGTGGAGTAATCGTGGTGATTCTATCAGGTATTATCATATATTGTAGCAGGCCCGTAACTAGGGGGGGGGGGGCTGGCCCTGGCCTGCAAAAAGTTTGCCCCCCCCCCCGTTGCTCTGAGCTAGTTACGGCCCTGGGTCCTGTTTCACGAAATCTTTACTAAAGATAAAATCCAAATTTTAGTGGATACTTCAATATTGATTGGCTGAGCACTAAAATCAAATTAATAAAATCCAATCAAATTACTAAAATTTGAATTTTATCTTAGTTAAAATTTCGTGAAACAGGCCCCTGTATTGTAGTCAGCCGTAGCAATCTTGTTGATCAAACTGAAACGTATCCGAAAGCATTTGCACATAGCAGATGGTGGACTCAATAGGGACAGCCCTATCGTAACGCATCACACGACAGTGTGAACCTAGCATAAGAGACAAATATAGACTTTCACTCTTAAAATGCAATCTTATTCAAAGCACGCTAGGTCAAATTTATTGAAATGGACCAATGTATGTCCCATGCATGCTCACGTTGGCGCACACCTGTTGAAATTCGAAATAAGAGATGGCCGTAGCGCCATTGTTGGCGAAATTTCCCTCGTACCACACTGCACGATACCCGTCTTTATTAGCACGAATGGAGCACCATAGTAAGACATTAAACCCCATGGTATTTCTCATCTGTGGTAATTTGTATTTTTGTGGTTACATGTGTTGTGTGAGGTGTGAGAAGTTTCACATCAACGGTTCTTTAATTTGCACGACAGTGTTTACATGGATGGTTTTTGTGTCCCATCCGAAAGACATTGCACATTTGCCTTGTACATAATCTAATAGCCCGTTCAGATGTCCAAATTAAACTTGTTTTAAAAATCACGCACATTCCCCGTGTACATAATCCAATAGCCCATTCAGACGCACAAGTTAAACTTATTTGAAAAAAAAACAGGCACATTTGCTGTGTACATAATTCAATAGCCCATTCAGTTGTTTTAAAAACTAGGCGGTCGATAAACTACTTTAATGCAAAGATGGCTTATCTTGGCCACCAGTACGTGTGAACGTAAAACTGCCCTGCCTTAAAAACATTGGCTTTTTAAAGGACAATATTGGTGTCAGTCATTATCACATATGTGATAGAAGTAATTAAACACGTTCCAAATATAATTTTAACACAGAAATCATTGCTACCATAGCTGAGTAATACAGGTTTCCTGAATCGGAAGTGACGAACGCCAAAGGAAAACACGAGTCATACCTCTATATAACTGACTGATGTGACGAGTGATAACAGATACACGGCCGAATTTCTGCTCACTAATAACCAAAAGTTGTTGTGTGAGACTGTGAGAGGATATCTGACAATTCATAAAAAGAATTGATTGCCACTAGATAAGAGAACACGAAAAAAAAAACCCAGAAAAAGTCCGTGCATTACCATGTTTTTATAAGGTATAGAATGAATATAAAGAAGGGAATGTACGGACTATTTCTATTTTTCTCGTGTTCTCTTATCTAATGACATTCAATTACTTTATTATTATTATTGTTCGATTTATATTATTGTTCCCATATAACAACTTTTGATCTTGGAAGGAATTATAAGGCTGTCTGTCTCTACAGTTAGCTCCGCCTAGGTATTCTCAAGATATGAAATGAAATGGGGTTTAACGTCCTACTGTTCTGCTCCTAAACTGGGCTAATGAAGACGGGCATACGCCATACAGTGTGCTATGAGGGAAATTTTGCCCGGGCAGCGGCACTATCGCCTACTCTTATATCGAATTCCAAGTGCCAAGGGATCTTTTACGTGCTTTCCAATGTATACACGGGAACTCGGTTTTTCGTCTCATCCGAAGGACTAGACAGCTGTCCTTGTCAGCCCCTTCGTCCTGCATCACTGACAATCTGGATGAACTTTCTCGGCCAATGCAGGGACCAAACACCCGACTTCCAGGCTAGCGAGCCAGCGTCTTACCCACTTAGCCACGTGATCCTCCCTCGAGGTATGAAGTAGATGCATCGCTGTGTGCAGTATGATGAATGGCCTATAACGTAATCCTCTTTATCTCTGTAGTGTTACCGGTGAATTCGTCACTAGTTTGATTAACAGTTTACAGCAAATATTACCCACTCGGCTGACACAGTTACCATTGGTTTTCATACCGGAATATGCATGTTTTAGCTTCGCGTAGTATTATGTTGTAGCTATCTCAGCCGATAACGTGGGAAAAATACTACGTTGTAGTGTCAAGGTAGACTAGAGGTTAAAGTTGAAATGGGGTCACGCTGTTTGACCGTGTGATATAATAACATTGATAGTAGAAGTTTCCACGTTATAGCGTGCGTGTATCATCAGCTAGTATTAGTTATAGATAGTTCGTCGATAGACCAGGATACCAGACGGTAAATATGTTAACATTTAATTTAGTAACCGTTGCGATCGATAAATGATGCGTGAATGTCGGTTAGTGAGACGACGTGAATGCCGACTGACTGCATTGTTAGGTCTAATCAAACGATCAACACTGCGAGGAGTATGGTCATTGTAAGTCTGTCAGTACTAATCGTATGGAGCGAGAGTCGTGACATAATTCTAACTCTGAAAGGGATAATTTACTGAATATTCTGGAATTCATTCCCTCGAGTTGTGGCAATAGAGTTAAAACTGAATTCGGACTACATACAACGTCAAGGGATGCGCGGTCTCACTTTCAATTCCCTGTGTCTCATTACGTCACAACTCTTTTGACGCTAGCCCATTTATTCCATCAGCTAACAGTAACAGCAGGGCTCCTGAGAGGAAAAAACATGTGCTGGGGCGATTCCTCCTTGCCCCCCCCCTCCCCACATTAGTCATATCTAGATGATTCACTAGCAGATCGCGATGAAAGAGAGAGAGAGAAATGGGGTTTAACGTCCACTCGACACAAACTAGGTCATTTCGGGACTAACACATGGTTTAATTTTATTTTAATAATTCGCTTGCGCGTAGGGGTCTTTAGCAGTGGGAGGAAACCGGAGAACCCGGAGAAAACCCACGAGGTTGGACAGGCGACCCTACTCCTTGCCACGTACAACCGGGGATTCGAAACCACGCCAGTTGACTCAATGGCAGACTTTATGGTACAGCGCGCACGTGCTAACCATTCAGCCACCCCCCCCCCCCCCCGCCCCAGATCGCGATGAAACTGTTGTACATACTTATATAAGCTTCAAAGGAACAATAAAAAATTGCCCATTTCAATTTTGAACTTTTGGGCCCCATAGACTCTTATGGGCCCTGGGGCGGCGCACTAGTTGCACCCCCCTCTCTAGAGGTCTGGCTAACAATCGTATGGAGCAAGAAAATTATAAACCTGAACACCTTGTATAAGATTAATGTTATTATAATGTGCAAACTTCAATGGTTATACATTATACTCTATGCTCTATTTAGTATGTAGTTACATATAGTTATAGTACATAATTCATATCTTGTCTCCCCTTGTCAGTGGTGCAGAACGGAAGGCCTGACAAGGACAGCTGTCTAGTCGTTCGGATGGTATGGAAGGAAAACCCGTGTATACATTGACGTGCACGTAAAAGATCTCTTGGCAGTTGGAATTCGATATAAGAGTAGGCTATACTGCCGCTGCCCGGACAAAATGTCCCTCATAGTGCACTGTATGGCGTATGCCTGTCTTCATTAGCCCAATATGAGCAGTAGTAAGACTTTGAACCCCATTTCCTTTCATTTTCATATCTTGACTTTAGCGGTTTGAATTATGATTGGGGTGTTGGATGGCCGATTAGTTAGCACGTGCTCGCTTTATCATAAAGCCTGTCATTGAGTCAACTGACGTGGTTTCGAATCCCCGGTTGTACGTGACAACGAGTAGGGTCGCCTGTCCAACCTCGTGGGTTTTCTCCGGGTCCTCCGCCCCCCCCCCCACTACTAAAGACCCCTACGCGCAAGCGAATTATTGAAACAAAATTAAACCATATGTTAGTCCCGAAGTGACCTAGTTTGTGTCGAGTGGACTTTAAACCCCATTTCTCTCTATCTCTCTTGAATTATGATTCATCTGGTGTCGTATTTTTTATATTAAAGCAGATCGGGGTGTGTTTAGTTTCGTAACGAGTTTGGGGGGTTGGATGGCTGAATGGTTAGCGTGCGCGCCTTGTATCATAAAGTCTGTCATTGAGTCGACTGGCGTGGTTTCGAATCCCCGGTTGTACGTGGCAAGGAGTAGGGTCGCCTGTCCAACCTCGTGGGTTTTCTCCGGGTCCTCCGGTTTCCTCCCACTGCTAAAGACCCCTACGCGCAAGCGAATTATGTAAATAAAATTAAACCATATGTTAGTCCCGAAATGACCTAGTTTGTGTCGAGTGGACGTTAAACCCCATTTCTCTCTCTCTCTCTCTCGTAACGAGTTTACACATGTCACAGATAACACTGTAAAGCTATAAACAATTGTGATAGATAAAATTTTATTGTATCTCAATGCACATTTCCGGTCGAATACAATTTATATTCATGACATATTTATACATATAAAATAAATAGTTTATTCACAACTACATGTACAAGCATGAGTGTGGAAGTTACAACAAACATTTCACATTGTCATACATTACAAAATCTGAGGTTCGATATAATAATAAAAGTTTATTCACAACTACATGTACAAACATGAGTATGGAAGTTACAACAAACATTTCATATTGTGATACATTACAATATCTGATTAAATATCTTATACAATAAGATTAATTTTTAAGACACGTGTGGTACATGTTAACGTTGATGTAATCGTCAATATTTAATAGTACATATCAGGGTCGGGTGTTCGATCCCTGCATTGGCCGAGAAAGTTCATCTGGATTTTCCGACGTGGTTTCCCCTTGTCAGTGGTGCAGAACGGAGGGCCTGACAAGGACAGCTGTTTAGTCCTTCGGATGAGACGAAAAACCGAGGTCCCGTGTATACATTAGAATGCACGTAAAAGATCCCTTGGCAGTTGGAATTCGATATAAGAGTAGGCGATAGTGCCGCTGCCCGGGCAAAATTTCCCTCATAGCACACTGTATGGCGTACGCCCGTCTTCATTAGCCCAGTATAGGAGCAGAACAGTAGGACGTTAAACCCCATTTCATTTCATTTCATTTTTATTACATATCAGAGAGAGAAATGGGGTTTAACGTCCACTCGACACAAACTAGGTCATTTTGGAACTAACATATGGTTCAATTTTATTTCAATAATTCGCTTGCGCGTAGGGGTCTTAAGCAGTGGGAGGAAACCGGAGGACCCGGAGAAAACCCACGAGGTTGGACAGGCGACCCTACTCCTTGTCACGTACAACCGGGGATTTGAAACCACGCCAGTCGACTCAATGACAGACTTTATGATACAGCGCGCGCACGCTAACCATTCAGCCATCCGACCCCCCCTGTTACATATCACAAAGAAAAACGGTCGTTCGTAGATGATATTGCTCTTTATCACTCCTTAGGAGATATCGCTTTCCATGAATTTGATTGGTCAGTTGAAAAAGAACTACTTTTTTTCAAAGAACTGTTCATTTTTTTTTATTAAAAGTAACCTTTTTTTTGTATTAAAAATGAACTATCTTTATTTAATTGACCTTGATGGAAACACTGGTTGAATGGTTGAATTACTGTCAAAAATATTATGTATAACTACGCCGTAATGTAATCAGATTCAGTAAAAGTGAAATCTATAGCAAAGAATTATATTTATTTATTTGTGTATATAAGAAAGGATTGAGTGATAAATAAGATTTCCTACTCGTCTTTTTTGATATCCAAAAAAATAAAAGACTCGTAGGAGATTCTCTCTATATATAATAAGGGTTTAGTCGATAAAAGCCGACAAGACACGCTGAAATTGTCCAGGGTACTGTTTCTCGAAATCTTAACTAAAGATAAAATCCAAATTTTAGTAGATACCTCAATTTTGATTGGCTAAGCACTAAAATCAATCTAATATTATCCAATCAAATTACTAAAATTTGGATTTTATCTTAGTTAAAATTTCGTAAAATAGGCCCCTAATTTCTAACTCCCACCAACCTGAGTGGTAGAGGTGCCTTACATAGAAATGAAATGAAATGGGATTTAACGTCCTACTATTATGCTCCAACTGGGCTAATGAGACCATAGGGTCTGGCGTGATGTCGAGTGGTGTGGTTGCGGTCCTACACTTTAGATCACAAGGAGTATGGTCTCCTCGTGGGTTTTGTCCGGGTCCTCCGGTTTTCTTTTAAGATCCCTACGGGCAAGCGAATTATTGGAACAAAAATTGAACCATATGTTATTCCCGAAATGACCCAGTTTATTTCATATATATATAGGTCTAAAATGAAACGGATGGTCGTGTTCTTGCACCTTTATAAATTGATTGATATGATTTAATTGTTTTCCAGTTGGTCACCATGGCAACAAGATGGGGTATTTGTTCTGCTGGTAAAATATCCAATGATTTTGCGGCATGTTTAGTGTCTGCTCCAGATACAGAACATAAGGTATGGTGTTATATATTATACTGTCTTAGATTTGGGGGATTTGACCGAGTGGTTAGCGCGTACGCGTTGTATCATAAGGTCTGTCATTGAGTCAACTGACGTGGTTTCGATTCTCTGGTTGTACGTGACAAGGAGTAGGGTCGCCTGTTCAACCTCGTGGTTTTTCTCCGGGTTTTCAGTTTCGCTCCACTGTTAAAAATCCCTACGCGCAAGCGACTTATTGAAATAAAATCGAACCATATGTTAGTCTCGAAAAGACAGTTTTGATGTATTTTATGTGCATGGATCCTATTTATATTTCCATTCGCCTAACTAGATATATTGACATTTCTAAAGCTGCTGACTGAACCAAGAGATTAGAACTCTGGAAACGTGTTCTTATTACTCCAGTGGTGTGATGATCACGAACAGGAAGGAACAATAAGAATTACAGATACAATAGAATCTGTATTAAGCAGCCACCCAAGATGTAAGATTTAGATAAAGAACTGGCCGTTCTTGCTATAATAGTTCAAAAATAGATCATTCAAAATTAATATATTGAATATTTCATTCAAATTACTCTATTCTGAGCAAAGTTATCACTGTTTGAAATTTTGACAAGATTTGGCAAATATTGTTTATTACCGTAGAAACGTTAATTGTTAATCAAGACTCGACATCTCTTCTCCATTTTTGAATTAAATCATTAAATGGCGATCGCATTTCGGTTTAAATGTCTGCCATCCGACGATCTAGAGAGTTGATTATAGGCTTGTCATGTGAATAAATGTCTAAATAATAATTTGAAGCCAAAATAAAAATCTGCAATATGCAGATTTAGCTATTGAATAATACATCTTTAATGACTTTGAGATACTTGATTGAACGTTCTCGAATTCAATACCATCGATACTATCGATACCATCAGTTATCGATTCCATCGATACCATCATCAATACCATCAATAGCATCAATGCCATCAATAGCATCGATACCATGAATACCATCAATACCACGGTACCATTGATACCATCGATACCGTCAATACCATCGATACCATGAATATCATCAATACCATCGATAACATCAATACCATCGATACCGTTAATACTATCAATACCATAGACAGTAGTAAACGCAGCAATATCGGACGACAAAGCACGTGTCAACCAAATAAAAGACATATTGGATAGCTGAACATGTTTTGGTCGTTTTCTATTCACGTCACAATGCTACTGGCAATTATGACAAACATGTAGTTATTCGGATGGAACGAAAGAACCCCTGTCAGTCGGAATTCGATCTGCGCGTTGGCTGAAGCGCAGCTGTCTGAGCAATATTTCCTTCATATCACACTTTATGGCATGTGTCCGCCCGCCTTCATCATCCCGGGGGGTGGGTGGGGGGAGGGGTGGATGGCCGAATGGTTAGCACGTGCTACCGGAACTGTGACAGGGCCTGATTCGTACCCCCTCCCCCCACCCCGACTCTACCCCAACCCCCTCCATTTGTAACGATTTAAATAATTTGTAAAACCCCATTTCTCTCTTTCTCTCTTTCATCATCCCGATCGGTGCAGAAAGGTAAGACGTTAAACTCCATTTCATTTCAATATTTTTGTGACTACCGGAACTGTGATAGGGCCTGATTCGTACCCCCTCCCCCCACCCCGACTCTACCCCAACCCCCTCCATTTGTAACGATTTAAATAATTTATTATAATGAACGACAGGGATGATCATTGATAATGACGTATGTTTTATTCCACGGTGACGTCACTGTGACATTTCTTCTTGACAGGTTGTTGCTGTAGCAGCCAGAAATGTGGATAAAGCTAAGGAATTCGCCGACCATTTTGGAATTCCAACAGCTTATGGTTCCTATGAAGAACTGGCGAAAAATTCTGATATAGGTATTTAATTCTATATTACTTTTTAAAATTATGTTTCAACAGTTTTGCAATCTAATTAAAACACAGATCCTAATTTGTTTCGTTTTTATAGTTCAAAATTTCGTCTTTACTACACTAGGAAAAGTTGTTATATAACCTGCGTTCTGTTTGATGTGAGGGATTAGCCAATGAAACGGTCTGTTGCAGCGAGTTCTTGGCGTGGGTGTCCCACTAGAAACATCAACACTGATTGGTTAATCAAATGCTTGACATCATAGGTCAAAAGTCGCTCTTATGACCTTTGACACGACATCCCCGCCACAACTGGTCAGATCTTCATGTTGTTGAGGCCATAGAAAGTATAAAAAACGAAACGAAATATAGATCTGGGTTTTAATCAGATTGCTAGTTTTGCTGTTTAAAATGTTGATAAATCGCCCAATTGAGTTATCAAACTGTCATATATTTTATTATTAAAATTACAGATAAAATGCCAATTTTTTTTCCCAGAATGATGGAAATTTCGCAAATTAAATATTTAGTGAAAATATTGTCATTCACACTTACACAAATGTTTTTTGTATGTCAATATATTAGATAGAATTATTTATTTGGTACAAACACATTATACAACATAATAAATGACTTATTTATTTATGGTACTATATGTTTTAAATAATTATTTGTGTACCTCTGGGTGCAGCCCAGCCAGCCCCTTTATAAATAGACAAATAAAACCCCTATATCTACGGAATGACGCGTCTCTCAGACAGTCGCGTTCAAGTATTCCAAAGACACATTGGTGAACCTACATGGTATGTTTTATTTTTATAAGAAATGATATATTTTGTATATTTATGATTGTTTTTAGCAATGGTATATGTATATTTATGGTTGTTTATTGTTGTTTTAGAGGTGGTATATATTGGAGCTGCCCTACCTTTCCATACGGAATTATGATTGTTTTTTAGCTATGGTATATGTATATTCATGGTTGTTTATTGTTGTTTTAGAGGTGGTATATATTGGAGCTATTCATCCTAGTCATAAAGAATTATGTATCCTATTTTTAAACCATGGTAAACACATAGTCTGTGAAAAACCTCTCACTACTACCTTGAAGGACACGGAAGAAGTCCTTAGACTTGCCGAAGAAAAAAATCTGTTCCTTGCAGAGGTAGGAAAATATTCCGTTTAGCTGTTTTACATGCCATTGAACAAAACAACAGTTCCGCATTTACCTACGTGTGGGATCTAGGCCAGACTCATCAGTGGGCACCCAAATTTATGGAAATGTTCGCATGTTCCAGCAGGCTATACTTATAGTACAGGGGTCTCATACAACGGGCACTATACGTATTGTACAGGGGTTTTAAACATATAAATACCCGGGCCCTGTTTCCGTGGACACAAGTATACCCGTGGGCCTGGGCTATTTTGCATGGAACTCCAGTGAAAGACACCAATTACGTATTTGACAAAGTATATTCCCCTTTCAGACACAGTCAATACCCCCAATCACGTCTAGACAAACAATAGACCGCCAGCTAATAACAGTGGATGTATCCGTAAAAAGTGTCCATTGGATGAGATGCCAAATATTTAGTTATTAGATAAACGGGGGTTGGATGGCCGAATGGTAAGGTCGTGCGCGCTGTATCATAAGGTCAACTGGCGTAGTTTCGAATCCCCAGTTGTACGTGACAAGGAGTAGTGTCGCCTCTCCAACCTCGTGGGTTTTCTCCGGGTCATCCGGTTTCCTCCCACTGCTAAAGACCCCTACGCGCAAGGGAACTATTGAAATATAATTGAACCATGTGTTAGTCCCGAAATGACCTAGTTTGTGTCGAGTGGACGTTAAACCCCATCTCTCTCTCTCTCTCTCTCTCTCTCTCTTAAATTTCCGTCTTCATTAGCCCAGTATAGGAGCAGAACAGTAGGACGTTAAACCCCATTTCATTTCATTTCATTTCTCTCTCTCAAATAAACAAAATGAAGCTGATAATTTATGTAATTTGTTACAGGGATTTTGGACGCGATATTTTCCTGTTTATGAGGAAGTTAGATCGCAAGTGGCCGCCGGGGCTATAGGTGAACTGAAAGCTGTCCATGCTAGAATGAACCATAATAATGCCCATGTACTGCGGATGAATAAGGGGGAGCTAGGTGGCGGAGGAATGTTAGATTTAGGTTGCTATTCGGTGCAAACAGCTAATCTGTTCTTCAAAGGAAGACCGGATGTGATCAAAGCTACCGGAACTCTTATGCCGGGAAGTGGTATGTATGTTATAACTTATTTAGACAGACACTGAAAGAAAAAGAGGGGGGGGGGGGTGGACGCAAACTAGGGACTAAGATACGATACAATATTATTTGAATAATTCGGATGCGCGTACAGGTCTTTAACAGTGAGCGGATACCAGAAGACCCGGAGGAAACACACGGGGTTAGGCACGCGACCTTACTCCTTGTCAATTTCAGTATATTAAACTTAACAATAATTTGATATGACCACTATACTATCCATTGTAATGTAGGGTTTATTTTATGCCAATGACATCATTCGGTTACCGATTAACCCTAACAAAGGGAATAAGGCTAGTAGAATGGTTCATTTGTCGATCGCCATGGAAGTTATTATGATGCTCAACACTGATTTTGTGTTGATGTCTAGTATTCTTTCTTGCTTAGACTAAGGGGGCGTGGTAGCCATGCGACAGGGGCGTGGTAGTCGGATGAGAGAAATGTGTCCAGTCGCTTGGGTGGGAAGAAAAACTGGTGTCCACTCCGCGTATACATCGGCGTGCAAGTACAAAAAGTTGCCAGTTGAGAATCGACAGGGAAAGTGTACCTTGTCTTTCGGATAGGACGACAAACCGAGGTTTGAAACGAACGTAAAAGACCCGTTGATAGTAGCTACTCGACGGACACAGCACTATAAGGTTTAAATTTCCTTTCCTTGCATAGAACACCTACCAATAGAAATACAAAACACCACACATGGTGTATATGGATATAACTACTTCTCAGTTATTGATCAGTAACATATACAGGACTGGTTTTCAAGTTAATGATGAAGTGTCGCTATTTATATTATATTATATTATATTATATTATATTATATTATATTGTATTGTATTGTATTGTATTGTATTGTATTGTAATATGTATATTATATTATATTGTAATGTGTTTAAATTATATTGTAATATGATTTTATTGTATATTTAGATGTGGATGGTAGTGGAACTATTGTATTGAAATATCCCCAGAATAAAACGGCAACATTAGAATATCATACACAGATAGCAGGCGCCAATAATTCCTGTACCTTCATGGGTACTAAAGGTACCATAGAGGTAAATATACAATATATTACTTAATATACAATATACAATACGATATATCGCTTTGTATCATTTCAATACAATATGATATATCACTTGTATAGTTTGAATACAATACGATATATCCCTTATATCATTTCAATAAAATACGATATATCCCATGTATCATTTGAATAGAATACGATATATCCCTGAGGGATATTTGGGCTGTATAATATCTTTAAATTAATCTGTGTTTAATTTCAGGTCCAGTCCCCGTTCTGGTGTCCAACAACTGTTAAAATAAATGGCGAAGAAAAATCATTTCCTCTAATTCCCGTTAATTATAAACTTAATTATGATAATAGTAACGGCTTCCATTACGAGGCAAATACCGTTCGTCAATGTTTACAAAAGGGTAAGTAAACGGGAGTGAGTGGTTTGTAGAGAGGAGGTGGGTGAGGGCGGGGGTGGTCATAAAACTAACAGGCTAAGGGAGAGGTGGCGGGGGTTTATGCAAATAATAGTAATGGTGACTGCGAGAGCGGGAACAGACACTAACTGAACGAACAGTCAAAGCCACTTTCATACAGCGGGATTTCCACATTAAATGATATGTTTTTACGTATGTAGATCTGCTTATGCGAGTAAATTGACCGTATGAATGCATTTACTTATGTGCAAATTTTACTCCTGCACGCACATGTTCAGCAGTTTGCACCCGATCTGAGCTACGTGCAAATTTACTACAACATATGAGTACAAGCATTCCTTCTGGCTATCTGTGCAAATCTGGCCGTATGAACGCACATGAAATTTACACACGGTAATCACGTACACACTGTTGTCTTTTCAAGGCTAAAGAGATTACCGACTGTTCTGTACTCAACCGATGATCAAGCTAGTAGATTGCTATCGCCACCCTCTTTTGCACTATTTGAAATCGCAAAGGGATCCACGGTGGCTAAGTGGGTAGGACACTGGCTCGATAGTCTGGAGGTGCGTGTTCTATCCCTGCATTGGCCGAGAAACTTCATCGGGATTTTCCGAGGTGGTTTCTCCCTTGTCAGTGGTGCAGGTATTTAACGTTCACTCAACACAAACATATGGTTCAGTTTTATTTCAATAAATCGCTTCTGCGTAGGGGTCTTTAGCAGTGGGAGGAAACCGGAGGACTCGGAGAAAACTCGCGACCTTACTCCTTGTCACGTACAATCGGAGAACATAAACCGCGCCACTTGACTCAATGAAAGACTGTTGATCCAACGCACACGCGTTAATCCCCAATTGTAGGTCTGAAATGAAATGAAATGGGGTTTAACGTCCTACTGTTCTGCTCTTATACTGGGCTAATGAAGACGGACATACGCCATACAGTGTGCTATGAGGGAAATTTTGCCCGGGCAGCGGCGCTACGGCCTACTCTTATATCGAATTCCAACTGCCAAGGGATCTTTTACGTGTACGCTAATATGTACACGGGACCTCGGTTTTCCATCCCATCCGAACGACTAGACAGCTGTCCTTGTTAGGCCCTTCGTCCTGCATCACTGGCAAGGGGAAACCAAATTTTAGGTCTATTGCGGTTGAAGTAAATTAATGTGGTTGAAATGTTTTTGCTTGTTTTTATTACAGGTTTAAAGGAAAGTCCAGTTATAACTCATCAAGATTCACGTGATATCATGTATATAATGGAGGAGGCCTTGAAACAAATTGTTGCCACAGATTAAAAATATTTATAATCATCAAACATGACTGTCTTTATCTCTATAGAACACCCGACTTCATATCTCAAACACGCAACACGCGACATCATCTCTATAACATCCAATGCGCGACTTCATCTTTAAAACACCGAACACGTGACTTCATCTCTGTAACATCCAACACGCGACCTAATCTCTTGAACACGCAACTTCATATCGATACATCCAACACGCGACTTCATCTCTATACAACACGCGACTTCATCTCTATACAACACGCGACTTCATCTCATCTCTATACAACACGCGACTTCATCTCTATACAACACGCGACTTCATCTCTATAGAACACGCGACTTCATCTCTATAGAACACGCGACTTCATCTCTATAGAACACGCGACTTCATCCCCATAGAACACGCGACTTCATCTCCATAGAACGCGCGACGTCACCTCTATAACACCCAACGCGTGACTTCATCTCTATAACATCCAGTACGAGGGTATTGCTGCAGTTATCGCCTCTTTAACGACGAAGACACGGTGGCTCAGTGAGTAAGTGGCTGGCTCTCTAACCCAGAGATCACGTGTTCGATCCCTGCGTTGGTTGAGAAAGTTTATCGGGATTTTCCGGCGTGGTTCTCCCTTGTCAGTGATGCAGGACCGAGGCCCTGGCAAGGCACAACGTATAGTCGTTCGGATGGCACGAAAACCGAGGTCCCGTGTACACATTGGCGTGCACGTAAAAGATCCCCTCACAGTTGGAATTCGATATAAGAGCAGGCCATGGCGCCGCTGCCCTGGCAAAATTTTCCTCATAGCACACTGTATGGCGTATGCTCGTCTTCATTAGCCCACTCCGAGTAGGACATTAAACCCATTTCATTTCATTTTAGGAGTAGTGTTGAATTAGTGGACAAATTATCTAATATACAGCAGGGAATATCTTGGTATATTAAAGGACAATATCGGTGCCAGTCATTATCACATATGTGATAGAACTGGTTAAACACGTTCCAAATATGATTTTAACACAGAGATCGTTGCTACGATAGATGCGTAATCAATGCTTCAACAATCGGAAGTGACGAACTCAAAAGGAAAACACGAGTTATCCCTCTATATAACTGACTGAGGTGACGAGTGATAACAGATACATGGGCGAATTTCTGCTCACAAATAAACGTGTTTAACCGGTTCTATCACATATGATAATGACTGCAGGCACCAATATTGTCCTTTAACTAGGAGGCCAAAAACCACAGCGGGCAATATCTCAGTAGGAGAGCAAATGCCTCACTGCTGACAAAAAATGGCTTACACGTTTGTAAAACAAAGAAGCAGTGGGGGAATACCCATCACTTAATGTTTTTCTCTACCTCTGGTGACGGCCTGCTCAACCTCGTGAGTTTTCTCCGTGTCCTTTGGATTTCTCCCACTGCCGAAGACCCCTATGCGCAAGCGAATAATTGAAATAAATTGAACCATGTGTTAGTCCCGAAATGACCTAGTTTGTGTCGAGTGGATGTTAAACTCCATTTCAATCCACCTTTCTCTCACCTCTGGTGTGTGTTACGTTCATATTGTTATGGATAAGACTGCGGTCATTCCTTGTAAACTTCTTGGTTGAGACAAAGGTAAAACAAATCACACTGTTAAATAAAGTTACCTCCCTTCCACCGCTTAAAGCCCAGAGCTTTCATGAATCTGTGTATTAATTTCGTCAGCTTGCGGAGGGGGGGGGGGAGGCGAATGGTTAGCCCGTGCGCGCTGTATCATAAGGGTCTGTCATTGAGTCAACTGGCGGGGTTTCAATTCCTCGGTTGTACGTGACAAGGTTGTACGTGACAAGGAGTAGGGTGGCCTGTCCAAACTCGTGGGTTTTCTCCGGGTCCTCCGGTTTCCTCCCACTGCTATACACCCCTAACGCAACAAACCGACCGCCCTAAACCTGTCGAAGCTATCCCGAAGGTTACTTTCGGTTCATGACATAATTTGAATCCGAAACATTTTGGTCCAATATCAATGTTCTAAGATCGTCGGCCTCCATGAAGCGATACAAAAACAAATGTATTATATTTTTATTCCAAAATTAACAGAAAAAATTAAAATAAATATATTTATGTTTTCTAAATACATGTATACGTGAAAGATGGAAAGAAAAACTAATCAATAATTCAGAAACAAATTCCGATGTAATTTTTTCTAATTTAAAAACTGCGTATTAGTCAAGCGTATTCTATAAAATCAGCTCATAACCAAATATAATTCCCTACAATTGTAAAGTAGCACAGAAATGAAATGAAATGGAGTATATGATTTCGGTTTTGCTACCCACCCACCCAAACCATGCTGGAAATCCCCGCTCAACATCGAGAGCGAACACTAGCCCCCCCCCCTCCCTCCTCAACACCCCACCCCAGACAATTTGATGAGCGACGACGACGTCACAGGAAGTATGTCAGATATTGATGAAACATACAAAGATAAAATAAAACGGAACGAACAAACATTTGTATGTGACGGAGTCCTCGGGGAAAGGCTAGACTGTCGCCAGAGGATTCTGTACATACTGGCCATGCCAACGTAAAACAATTAAATAAATATTTATGGGGCCCCTGGGGCTTCATGAGCCCCACCCTGCTCCTTGGGCTTGTCTGATTAAATAATGTATTGTCATTAAAATACTATTTAAAGGGAAAACTGAGTAAAAAGTAGTCTCTATGACAACACGGCCATTTTATAGAATGTTGCTATTGCAATACGGACATTTAATAGAATAGTTTCTATGACAACACAGACATGTAACATAGTAGTTTCTATGGCCAACCGGACATTTGATAGGGTGGTTTCTATTTTAACTGGTAACTTGACCATTTAATATAGTAATTTCTATAGCAACACTTTCATATGGTAACACGGCCATTTAATAAAGTAGTTTCTATGGCAACATAGATATTCAAGGGAACAGTTCCTATGATTACCTAGTAATAGTAATAAGTAGTTTCTATGGCCAACCGGACATCTGGTAGAGTGGTTTCTATGTTAACTGGTAAAACGACCATTCAATAGAGTAATTTCTATAGCAACATTTTTATATGGTAACACGGCCATTTAATAGAGTAGTTTATATGGCAACTTATGGAACAGTTCCTATGTAGGTATTTGAGCCTTATGTTCATTTCTGTATAAAATAAAGTTTAATGGAGAACCTTGATGTCATGGTAACTACCATTTAATACGATATCCTATACGGCGTCTTCGTGACCTGCGTTCGTGTTGACGCTGCTACTACCTCCACGTTTCGGTGTAAATTTATGCTGGCTCCTACGGTAGAAATAAATGGCCACACCCAGTATGATGACAAATGCTAAGGTAACGAATATGGCGATCACCGCCGCTTCGCCAGTCGTTAGACTCACTGCAGCTTCTTCTTCTTTCAATTCCCGCGATTCTAGTTCCGTCAACCAGATCTGCTTCTCGGGATCGTACACTACCGCCTCGCCACTCTCGCTAGGGTAGAGTTTTAGACGAGCATTGAAAGGTGGACGTCGGAGCTCGGTTTGTGTGGTGGTGGATGGAAGATCTCCCAATGGAATACAGTAGTATAGGGGACAGTCTTTGATGACCCCGGCTAACTGTTGACTGAATCCAGCTGGACAGGACATGGGATTCGCTGATGCTTCACTCTCAGAAGCCAATGGATTACCTACATTACAACTGAACATGCCTCCGAATTTGATGGTCGTATTCAGCTGTCTGGTAACAGAATGGTCCACACATATATTGATATCATCTCCAATGAGCCTGGGAGTCATCTGCTGAGGACAAGTTTTGCTGCTCGTGAAGATATTATCAACCACCGAAGAATAGAATCCAGCAAATCTAACTTCACTTATGCCCAGTGTCTTCGTAGTACAGATAAATGTTTCTAGATCGGCGCTGGATTGAGTTGGCTCGTCGTTACAGCAGTTGAAGAATGCATAGCAACTCTTGCAAACTCTCTGGGATGATGTCTTAGAAAAATGCGACGAATGAATTTTAGTAGCTTCAAAGTTTTGCGGACACGATTCTTTTTTCGTTTGTAAGTTATTCTGTCTAAGATGCGAACACAAATCCCCGGCAGCGCTTGAACTGACTTTGCAGGTTTGGTAAATGCCCCCGAAAAACACGTCAGCTAACGTAACATTGCATGTACCATCTTCAAGGTTAGCTACGCTGTTAAACTGTTGTTCGTCAACGTTCGTACAACCACGGTACGTATTATAGGCGTAATAATCTCTTACAGCGTTCTTTATATAAGTCGTGACGTCGAACAGAATGGTCGCAGGAACGGTCGGCAACGTTTGGATGTTGACGAAGTTATAAATGGGTTCCCCAGCCCTGTCTACAGCGACCAGGTTGGTCTCTAAGTTAGAGGTCCAGCTATAACTGGCATTAGCAGACATATACAAAGGACCACCATATGTCGTTATAACAGAGTGAAGCCTGTTTTCTTTATAATTGTCCAGGATTTTTGTACTGTTTGAATCTGCCATGACGAAGTTTAATCCGACCCCTGTGGACTCTCGTAAGCTCATTGACGCTCCCAACAATACATCTTCTAAATTAGTTGTATCAGAAGTGACGTAGCTGGATTTCAGGTGATCTTCTTGAACCAAAGCAGCGCCGGTATCGACACTGCTGATCACGTGGGTGCCGAAATCTCGCACTAACATCTCGCTCTCGTATCTGGCCATCTCATGTCTCGCGTAGAGCACGTGCCTCGCGATGCTCAATATAGCTATTGTAAAAGCATTGCTGAGTTGTGTATCGGGCTGAAGTTTGACTTTATACTTTACGAATTTCATCTGAGCCCTGGTCACTTTGGATTTTTCTCGAACCTGCATCTGTTTGGAAGCGCGGAAACTTTTGGAGAAGGTGCCGCTGATTTTAGCACCGGGCATTCGGAACCCGGGATCCTTGTTGATCGACTCGGCGGTCATACTCGTATATTCTGTGTAACTGTGAAATATATCCGAATACTGGTCCAATTTGCTTTGTTTTAAGGGGAGGGTATTCACTCCATTCGGAAGAAGATATTTTCCGTCTGATGTTAGTTGACACGCGGAATAATTGAACGCCACAACACGAGAAACTTCAACATTTCTCAAATTATCCCAACCGAAACCTGGCAAAACTTCAAAATGGCTTACATTATGACTGTATTGTTTCAAACATGTCTGTGAATTTTCACCGTCTGCGATTAAAATTCCCGCCAAAAGAACACAGATGAACAATTTTAACCGAAACATTTTAAAGAACAGTTTTTTTTACAGTCTGAACTTGCGAGATTTTAATTGTGAACTGATTAAAAATCCAATTTTTTTTCTATCGCCTGAACTTGAGAGATTTTAAATCTAATTTCTTCAACATGTATCAAACGCTTGTGCTATCTTTCTCTATTTCACTAAAACTGCGTAAATATTGACAAATGAGTTATAATTCTGAATTCAAAAAATTGATTTTTTAATGAGCGTATGATCACGTGATATGGCGGCCATATTGTTTCAATTGTTATAGGTAATATTCAATATTGATATTTGAACGTTTGACGACGAGATGAAAGAAATATATAAATTATTCTATAGAAAATATGTTTAATTGTTATTCCAGTTAAACCTGTTACGGTTCTGTGAATAAAAGCAACATAAATTTATTGTGCATAAAGGCATTTATCCACAAACAGTAGCATTAAAATTGGTTTACATATATTTCAGGGCAAGGGGAAATAATTGGGGCAAATGGTCAGCGGTGATTATGTCGACTACATTTAAAATACGGTCAAATTTGATGTATTATCGTGCATTTGTATTGATAGGTCAAACAACACTAGCATTAAAATCAATTTAAATAAAATTTAGAAGAAGGAGCAAAAGTTCAATGGAATTAATGACTTGAATATTTGATTTCCTGTATTTTAAGTATTTTTAAAATACGGCCAGTTTTGTAGTTTTATATATAATTTAATGACACGCCTAACTGATTTGAGTCAGATTATTTTCAATATAAAGATTTGTCATACGCCAACAACCCCCACCTACACAGTTGATGTGTGTGGTTACTCATTTTGTAAGGTCACTCTGATCAGAAAAACGATTAGGTATTCTTAGGTGGGTTGGATACTGGTGGGACAGGGTGGGGAGGGCAACATTTCACAGATAGGCTTAGTCTATTTGTTAAGGCCAGCTCAATTTTTGTCATGGTCAGAAATATCCCATAGCCAAACGGTGTTGGTCTGGGATAGTCTATTTGTTAAGGTCAGCTCAATTTTTGTTATGGTCGCTGAAATGTAAGTAAGGTTAGGGCACGTCATTGTTGGGGAGATTGTAGGTTGGGGTTAGGGTAAGCATTTGGGGCTAGGTCCAGGTTTAGGGTTGGGAGTAGCGCTAGCCCTGTTTACATCTCGTTACCTATGACGAAAAATTGAGCTGGCCTTATCATTCAGTACTAACCTCCAAGGGTATTTAGGCCATTAGCTTCCACCATTACAAGAAATACAATAACAAAGACAGTCTTGAGCTGGCCTTATCATTTAGCACTAAGCGCCAGGGATATCTAGGCCAATATTCTCCATCATTACATGAAATACAATAACAAAGACAGTCTGTATTTTCAACATAATCATTATATTGTTTCTGATAACAAGGAATAATAACAAGGTGTCACAATAATATATTTAAAACAATTTCACGTAATGCAATACATATAACTCTTAACTCATATTCAACATGAAATGAAGTGAAATGGGGTTTGACGTCCTAGTTTTCTCCAAACCCTGCGGCCTGCACCGGACGTCCGGCCTGCACCGGATGCACGTTCTTGACCAACACAGGGAGCGAATCCGAGACCACAGATTATATAGCGAGAAAGTGTCTTTCTCAGTGAGCCATCGCGACTCCCATAACCCAGATTCAACGGACTCTCAATGTTTAAACACAGCCATATAATAACCGGAAGTCGGTTTGTTTTCTACTTTTAGTTTCGTTAATTGTTTATTGATTAAACTGTTAACAGGGGAACACAAAATCAGTTTTGAAAGCCGAACACTGGTTCGGGAAACCTGCATTTTTTTAATATATAAAGATATTCAACTCACAAAATTTTAAACCAAACCAAAGCAGATGTATCGTTTCAATAAAAGGGGGTTCGAACCTTTAACAAGCCCAGCCCATAACTAGTAGGCCCCTACAAACATATGACACAATTCTGGAATAGTTATTTAACTCGAGTAATGGGAGAGAGAGAGAGAGAAATGGGGTTTAACGTCCACTCAACACAAACTAGGTCATTTTGGGACTAACATATGGTTCAATTTTATTTCAATAATTCGCTTGCGCGTAGGGATCTTTAGCAGTGGGAGGAAACCGGAGGACCCGGAGAAAACCCAAGATGTTGGCCAGGCGATCCTACTCCTTGTCACGTGCAACCGGGGAATCGAAACCACGCCAGTTGACTCAGTGACAGTCCTTATGATACAGCGCGCTCGCGCTAACTGTTCGACCACCCAACCCCCCAACTCGAGTAATGGGGTAGTTTTCTCTTAAATTAAGGGGGAGGGTGTGTACGTGAATAGGTGAGGGACCCGGGTAAGATTCCGGTGGAAGTTTTTCAACCGTTTCAACGTTGTCAGGGGTGCAGAACGAAGGGCCTGGTAAGGAAATGAAATGAAATAAACTTTTTTTGCGCCAAGTGGGCTTATGAAGATTGGCTTACACCATTCCATGTGCTACGAGGGAAATTTATTCGGGCAGCGGCTTTTCCAAATTTTGTGTCCATAGATATTACCGAATCTTTGTTCCTGTGTTGTCGGCCTTTGAAGTCAAAATTGAGGATAATAATAACAATGCCGAGTTGCATGTCAATGGTACAGGAATTAGTGGAACTATGAGCTTTTATGTTTGAAGAAGAAAAGGGAGAAGAAGACTATTAAGTGTGTAAACCTTGGGCCTATTTCACGAAATTTAAACTAAGATAAAATCCAAATTTTAGTAGATACTTCACTAAGCACTAAAATCAATCTAATATTATCCAATCAAATTACTAAAATTTGGATTTTATCTTGGTTAAAATTTGGTGAAACAGGCCCCAGTTCTGGGTGTGTAGGAATTATCGACCATCACACCCCTTTTTTCTTAATTAAATGTTGCATGGCTAATTTAAGTACATTTAACTAACGTGGACGGGGTCCTAGAATTAATTTTATTTTTGTATTATCATTTTGATGAAAGGTGTAAAGTTTTTTAGGGGTGGGGGTCTTGACAACTATTTAGTATAATTAAGTTGATGAAGATATTGAGCCCCCTTTTGATTTTATGTTACAGCCAAATAATATTTTGGGGGAATAGAGAGGCCATTAGAGTTAAAATTTATGTCAAAAACAAGCGAAAACAAATTTCCGTTGCAGTCAAATAATATTTTAGGGGAATAGAGAGTCCATTAGAATTCAAATTAATAGAATAACAAAAATTATCACAAAATATTTGAAAAGATCCAGATAGAGGATAAAAGTTTCAACAAAAACAGTGAGAATATCACAAAATATTTTGAATTATAAGGGACGAAAGATTAAAGGGACAATAACACTCTTGCTGGCTTGACAGCTCCAGAAAATAAATAATAGCCTTATTCTAAGTATTAGATGTTTAAGTGTCCTACCTGTTGTGTAAATTATCCATAACATCCTATTTTACTTGTCCAGAGGGTTCAAAAATATTTTTAAATCCAAGTCACATTTGAAAAGGTTTACGTTAGGCTTTTCAAATTATTTAGTTGAACTTTTCCAATTTTTTAAAATTAGGTGTGTTAAGATGAAATTTGTATATTGTAAAATAGTACAATTTGTTGACCAGAATAAAGATTGGGACATATTATTCAGTTACAACAAGAGTGATATTGAGCCTTTAAACAAGAATATATAAAACAAATCCGGTGATATCACAAAAAACATCACGTATATATAACGTGACAACATCTTTCACGATTTTAAACCCCCCATTACAATTTACCTGGTGTTTATATTGCATGTACAATATTGATAAAAGTAAGGGAGTGGGGCGGGGGTACAATAATATTCTGTGCGGGGGGTTATAACAACTTTTACGCCGCTTGCTTTCCTTCTGGGGCACGCGGTGTTGTACTTTTGCATGTCATACTAGTACAATAATAGATTGTATAGTACAAAGATTAATATTGATAATATATACAATAATATATTGTTACAATAATATTCCGTGTGGAGGTTATAACAAACAACTTTCACGCTTGCTTTCCTTCTGGTGCACACGGCTGTCACATATTGTTTGAGAGTTTCATATAGATAAGCAGTTGTTGTACGTTTGCATGTAATACAATACTAGCTTGTATATATAGTACAAGGGTTATATTCATAATACCGGTATCTACAATTAAAATATTCGTGTGACGGTTATAATAATTTCATACACAAGGGTTATATTCATAATACCGGTATATACAATTAAAATATTAGTGTGAGGGTTATAATAATTCCATACACAAGTTAATACATTTGTGATTTTTCTATTCATGTTATAATAATTGTGTGGGTGTTATAACATAATTTCATGTTATGATAGTTACATTGTGTGGGGGTTATAATATAATTTCAAACTCTCCATACATTTGTGGTTATAACATATACAATATGTTAATATTAAAATATCATTAAGTTATTTATCGGCATTCTATGTGGGGATTGTAACATTCTATATACATTTAATATCTATGTGGGGGTTATTACATCATTTCAGACTCTCCATACAATACACAGGTTGTAATGATAACATATACAATATTAATATCATTAAGTTATTTATCAGCTTTCTATGTGACGTAACATAACGTCATATTATATATACAATTAATAATAATGATATATACATAATTAATAATTTCGTGTGAGGGATACAATAAATTTCATACACCATTAATATCTTTATGGGGATTATAACATCATATACACAACTACACTGTAACCTGGGTTTCATTTAATCTTGTGTGTGTAAATGATACCCAGGTTACACTGTTAATATCTTTGTGAGAATTATAACATCATATTCGCAATTAATATCTTTGTCGTGGTATAATAACTACATACATAATTAATATCTTTATGAGGATTACAACATCATATTCGCAATTAATATCTTTGTCGGGGTATAATAACTACATACATAATTAATATCTTTATAAGGATTATAACATCATATTCGCAATTAATATGTTTGTCGGGGTATAATAACTACATACACAATTAATATCTTTATGAGGATTATAACATCTTATACACAATTAATAACTTTGTGTGTGAGGTATAATAATGATATCTACAAAATTAATATTTTTGTGTAAGGGGTATAATTACATGCACAATTATCATGTTGTGGGAGTATAATAATTACATACACAT